CAGCAGGCAGAGCCTTGGCGATGAGACAGAGCAGCTTGAATTTCCAATCTGTTGATTCAAATTCAGCTTAGGTTGGTAACAGCTGAAATCCACCACTTCCGACAGCTGTTTAGCAGGCCACACGAGCTGGTTCCAGCACAGTTCCTCATGGGTTGCTGTCTTGCTCTGGGGCCACCTCAAAGACAGGCTTCTTGGGAGGGTCAGGATGAAGCAGAGTTCACTACTGTTGCTGTTATAGAACTTCCAAGGTCCTGCAGGATAAGAGGCTTGTTCATAAGTACCATCTTTATGGCACAAACACTCTTATTGCTCTTAGTGACCAGTATTTATAAAAAGATCTCCAACGTGCAACAATATTTGCATACCTGGAAAACACCACGAGATCTGAAGCACCGCAGTGTCACTCAGGCAGCTCCTCCATTACTGAATGTTTGAAAGTGGTATTTCATGATTCACACGCATGGGAAGTTTCAATATTTACAGAGTATTTCTATGCTTTAAACATTTCCTTTTGAAGAGGTCTGCATGGAACAGCACACTGTGTGTACTTAAGCTTTCTGGCTTCCCATTCACACCAATGCGCATCTGCCCCATCCAACAGAACACAGCGTGAACATATTAGGAATAGAAATTTTCACATTACTCAGAGATGCAGCTCATCTGAAGAGCTCTGCTTTGTCTCTTTGCTCGACCATCTCCACAACAGAAGAAGCAATAAGAGAGCACGTACAGCGGTTAATATACACAATGGACTATTAACCAATTTTTGAAATGAGAATAAGAAAGCCTGTTGAAACATCCAGCGACAGCCCCTGAAGAAAGGACAGGTCAAAAGAGAAAGGAAAAAAAAAAAAAACCACACCCAAAGGAAAGGAACAGAACCACCCAAAAGCCACAGCAGCTCTGGGAGTCCCCCATGCCTGGGGGCATCCCATGTAAGCAGCAGAAGTAATAGCAGAGACAGATAACACCATTTATATTCTTCATTAGTCACGCATCCCTCTGAAATTTGCCCAGATAATTTTAATAAAATACTGCATTGAACTACTGTTTACTACCATATTTACCAACTCTTCCATAAACATCTCCAGACAAGTGTACTTATTCACTAGCAGAATTTAGTCAGACCACTGCAGTCCAGAAGCAGAGCCCAACCCATAAAGTCTGTATTTAAAAAAGAAGTCAGGAAAGCCATACTGTACCAACAACTTCTCAGGCTGGTGGCGGTAGAAGCCATTAAATGAAGCTTACGCTTCATGCAGAGGGAAAAAATGCAGGGGAAAAAAAATAGGCAGTCTTATAAAGATAAGCAGCTTTCAGCTCAAGCCGTTCCAAATTCATTGCAAAGAGGACTCACGCGGATATTGCCAAACACCGCTCCAGCAGCACATGCTCAAACAGTCCCTCCGCTAGCCAAGGCAGGCAGCCCCCGTGCTGCTGTAGCTGCTGGCCTCAGCCCTCCCACAATGATCACAACCAGATTTTCTCTATCCAAAAGAAACGGCATTTCAGAATTCAAAAATCCCTTGTCCCATTTTCTTCTTGATCGTAGAATCATAGAATCATTTAGGTTGGAAAAGACCTTTAAGATCATCCAGTCCAACCATTAACCTAACATTACCAAGTCCACCACTAAACCAATTAAGGGGAGAGTAGTAATTTCATGTTTCCTGCCTTGGTGGCTGGATTATTTATAATGAAAGTAAAAACGAAGAATCATTAAGATTGGAAAGGCCCTCTCAGATCATCAGTCCAACCATCAGCCCAACCCCACCATGCCCACTAAACCATGTCCCCAAGTGCCACCTCTGCCCGTTTTTTGAACCCCTCCAGGGCTGGGGACTCCCCCACCTCTCTGGGCAGCCTGTTCCAGTGCTTGGGCTCTCTTTCCATGAAGAAATTTTTCCCAATATCCAATCTAAACCTCCCCTGGTGCAGCTTGAGCCCATTCCCTCTTCTCCTATTGCTAGCTGCTTGGGAGAAGAGACCAACACCCACCTTGCTACAACCTCCTTGATCAGCCTGAACCTATAAACTATACATTGAAGCAGAAACACAGCAGCAAGACTTTCTAACACAGGGGTGGAAGCAAAAGGGCTGGCAATAGAAAGAGGAAGGCTCCATCCTACCAGAAATTTATTAGAGGAATGGGAGACAAGGGAACATAAGCCAGGCGGCTCCCATACTCCACATCCACAACTGAAAAAGCAAGGTAAAGGAAATCAATGGGCTGAAATCCCTCCAAAAGGCAAGGCGAGGACATTTGGAGTTGAGCTGACACGGGAAGTTACACTATTTACAGAAGTCCACCATAGTATTTCAGC